ACTCAGATTTTTCCAGTTAAGTAAACTGTCTCGAGGTCCCTGGCCCAGGTCTGAGTGTCACTACCAGAATGATCCACCAGATGGCACTCCTTCGCCACTTCCTGTACTCCCAAGTTGCCAGAGATGTCGCCTCTTTCCGCTAAGGCACAAAACTTGCAGAGCGATTCCCCAGGCGATTCCCCGCACGCCACCGCCCGCACCCTCCTCCCAGCCCCCACCATCGTGGTGAGCGTGTCCTCGGTCCCCAAGGTCTGCAGTCTTTGCCCTCTCTGAGTCGGGTTCATCTCTCGGGCTTCCAGGCTTCTTTTTCAGGGGCGCTCTCCGGCTTCGGGCTCAGTTCTGCCCAGTCCGTACATCGACCCCCCAGGTCACCAGAGCGCCAGGGGCTGGGCTTCTCCAGGACACCCTCGGTTATACCAACACGGCTGCGCAACCATTCTTTGGAGCCTTAGCGATGACGAGCAGCCAGGCGAAGCGGCTCTCCTCCTCACGACAGCCCGAGGAGGGGATCAAGGTCATTTTCAGACAGCCCCCTCTTTCCGCTTCACACCCTGCCCTAGATGGAGGAGAGAGGCATGCCCAGCTCGGCTCAGCTAAAAGCAAGAAGAAGAGCCCGGCTGAGACCTGGAAGCCTCGGCTTGGGAGGGGCTGGTCCGACGGACCCTTCCTGCCCCGGTTGGTCCGGACTCCAGATCTCTGGGTAGGAGCCAGAAGAAAGAGCATTCCAGGGATTTCAAGCGGACTATACTTAAAATCTCGGAGGTGGGGGAATGTAGGGTGTGACTGAGCCTCTCCCGCTTTCAGGCCTGGGCAACTCTGGGTCGGCGCTCCTGGAACCTCAGATCTCGGGTGTGAGCAACCTAGGACACGAAACCGGGGATGGCTTGGAAGCCCGTGGGGAGGCGAAACCGGGAGTTCTGGCAGCGGCTCAGCCTCCCCCTCCTCCTCCCTTCCCCTCCCCTCCCTTCCCCGGGAGCAGCGGGAAATTATTTATTAAAACGCCGCCCGCGCTCTCATTTATTTGCGGTGAATAATCCTCGGCATCTCAGCACGTTTATTAAACCTTTCCCGTCCCCGCGCCCGCATTACTTTAATAATAAATCGCGTGTCACTTTCCAGCGACGTTATTAAAGCGGGTCCGCTGCAGCAGAGGCGGGGTGCGGGGAGGGAGGGGGCGGTGGACAACAGTTCTCCCATTCCAGGATGTGGGGCTTGAACCAGCAGGGCGGCGGAAGGGAAAACTGAGGCTGCTGGGAGGCTGCTCCTGAACACCTACAAAGTCGGCTAACGCGATCAAGGAGTACGGATTCCCCGGGACCTGCGTGACCCTCTCTGGTGGGGTGGGCTTTTGGTGAGGAGCCTCTGCTCTGCAGGTGGACGCGGTAGGGGCTATGGACCCGCAGAGGGCGCCTTGGAGCCCAGCTGGGCGAAGAACAAGCTAGGGGCGGATTCCCTGGCCGATGCTGGGACTCACACCCAAGTTCCCTCTTTCAGCGCCGAGTGGATTTTGGCCACGGTGCCGAACAGCACGCCCCACCCTCGCCTACCCCTCTGATTCTGCTTCTGTGGGCGCCCTGGAATCGGCTCCCAGTATCCAACCCGCTTGCGCTGTTGTGCGCGGCTCCTGGGGCCGCCCGGCTCCAGCCTGGGTTCGGCAATAAACACTGTCGCTGGCTTAAGGACCCGGGGCAAGGCAGCAGTAGATGGAGTCGTGCGTAGCCGCGGGAGGGGCGGCCAAGCAGGCCCTGGGGTTGGAGTTCCGGACCACGCCCCTCCCATGAGGCCAGGCTCCCTGCGTTGGGCCCCAGAGGACAAATTCTGACGCTGAGCCAAGGGCAGGCCCTCCCGCAGTGGCGCCAGGATCTGGGTGGAGCGCTGGCGTGTAGGAGGCTGTCGCCATCCACACGCAGTGTCTCGGCCTCGCTGACTTGTGCTTTCATTCTCTCCGTCAATCATTAAATAAACATTGAGTCTCACCAGTGTCCCTGAGCTAGGTAAGGAGAATGAGGAAAGAGATTTGGGGACCCCAAGCCAGAGAGGACAGGTCACAATTGGGGCAGATAGGAAACAGGCTTACCATGGCTCTGGCTTCTGCAGGAAAAGGGTAGATTCCTATGGGAGCTGGGGAAGAGTATGGACCACACAGGTGACCAAACTTCTACCCTCCTCTCTCTATGCATTCATTTTGGGGGCCTACCCACATAGGCCTGATTCCCCATTCTGGCCTGGGAAAGGGTTTGGAGTAAGATGAGCACAGAAGCAGGTAATGTATACCAGCCCCAATGGAGGGCATACCGGGAAGATAACTTCCCTCCAATCAAATGGCTCCAGCCTCCCTCCCTCAAAGGCAGGATAGGCCCAAGTTCAAACCTTCTCTCTGTACATCTGGCAGGCATGTGCTTAGAGAGCAGGCCCTGCAGCTTCTAGAAGCCAGAGTTCTGTTAGTGTGGGAGGCCTCCCAAGGATATTCAGTTTTCATGTGCACATCCGCATAAACTGTCTGTGCATCTGTCTGTGCATCATTAGAAATCTTTATTGGTGCCTAGCCCTGTGCTAGGTTTTGTCCAGTACAGAGCGGTATAAGATCTGGAGCTGGCCTCACCCATCTCTCTGCACTGAACTAAGCCACGCTCTGCTGTGCTCTCTCTTGTGCAAAAGAGGGCAGACAGCAAAGGGGACTTGCAGTCAGTAGGTGCAACTGGGGCTTAGGAGAGAGGGAAAAGTTCTGGAAGATGAGTTTGGGGAAAGGGCAAACAAGCTAGGTAAACTTTGGGGACCAGGAAATAGCAAGAACCAGGGCCTGGGAGGAAGGGCAGTTAGAAGTGTGGCGGAGCAGGGCTGGATGAAGTGGAGAATCCTGGTGCCTCCACCTCCGTGTCTGCTCTGGCCCCCATCCCAGCCTGGGGAACAACCTGTTGGAGGGCCTACTGGCCAGGGCATCTCCTGCATGGGCCCCTTTATACCCCACTGGTCTTGGTCTCAGCCTCTCTCCCTAACCTCCTCCAGCTTTTGTCTCTCCCCTACCACCCTGCTACCTTGGAGTTAAATAGGCCTCCCATGATCATCCCCATGAAAGCAGTCCATGAAGGGAATCTGCTCCCCTTTCCAGGTCTTTTCAAGAGCAGGGATGAACACTATAGCTGCTCACCCACCCCCATGGGCCAGAGCTAGTAGTAATCGTCACTCTCTTGACTCTCAGTTTCCTCCTCAGGAACCAGGTTTAGTGATCGCAGCTGGGGGATGCCTGTAGAATTCAGCTGGTCTGCAAACACACGTGGGCAAAGGAGAGAAACAGGAGAGAGGGGCTGTCAGTACCAACATAGCCCAGTCTGCGGAAGGCTATGCTTGTGTATGCACCCACATGCACACAGACACATGGACTGTTTCTTACATATTCACAGCTGGAATCCAGCACCACCCCTCCAACTCCCGGAGCTCAGGGATCCCCTTACCAGGTGTGAGCACTGTCAAGCTAGCAGGGGCCTCCACCTGACCCAGCGCATTGCGGGCAAGGCAGCGGTAGGTGCCCTCATCGCTGGGACGCACAGCCTGGATCTGCAGCCAGCCAGTCACCTCAAACCTCTGGGGTCCACCCCTAAACTGGAGCCAGGCAAGGAATCAGCGAGGTCCTTCTGGAGGGCCCTGGGCTGCCTGAGGGAAGCCTCTCCCACCGGTCTCTACCTGCACGGAGATGTGGGGGTCATCCCCTGGCAGCTGATGGTCCAAGCCATCCTTCCCTTCCACTTTCGATGGAGGCCATTGGGGTAGGCAAACACCTTACAAGCCAAGGATGGTTATCACACTCCTGGCCCTGTCACATCCAAGTGCATATGGATGTTGATACGATCTGGGGCCCTGGGGGTGAAAGGTGGGAGGTCTGAAGAATTAGCACTGGCCAGCAAAGGCTCAGTCTGGCAAACCAATGATACACAAATTTTTGTGGACATGCTTGTGGCAGAACACAATATATGCTGAGGTAATACATATCCATTAAACACACCATGACACACACAGGTACACACAGATGGATGCTGGTACACACAAGGGGTACCACGCAGGACGTGGAGATAGATTATACAGTGCACATGTGGCACATAGGACCTCATTGCAGACTCAATGCAGCAACAAGCACACATCACCTACACTGTAGCTTGCAGCCACTCTGTCCCCAATCTGCTCTCCTGTCCTCATTCCACCTCTCCCCAGCCTTCCCGCAGTGCCTATAACTAAAATCCTTCCAGATACCCGTTCCCCTTTTCTAAGATCAGGCCCAGTTCCCAACAGGCGGAAAAGCAGTCCGTTCCCTACACAGCGGGACCCCTGGGGGAGTCCCCCCGGCAAGGCGGAGAACCTGAAGCTGGTGACTTGTTGCAGACGGCAGAGCGCCTGCGGAGTGCAAGGAAGATGCTGGGGATCTCCCTCGCGGGGGTGTTTGGTTTTTTCCTGCTGCCTCCAGCCGAGCCTTTGGGACACAGAGCCGGGGCTCAGGAAGTGAAAGTTACTAAACTGCGCTCAAAGGAAGCTTAGAACCCTGAATGGCCCCCAGTCCCCGGGGATAGAGAGTAGAACTAGGCTGAGCTTCCTGCTCCTCTTCACTAATCCCTAAAATTCGCAGAAGAAAGGAGAGAGGTGGGAGACTGAGTGATACGACTGCTCTTAAGAATCTGCCTCAAATGAACGTTGATTGCCATCTCACAGGTAACCCGTTTGCTGCTCTGGACTCCACTTGGTCTGGGAAAAGTGTGTGTGACGAGGGTTCCTGACAAACCATTAGCTAGTGCCCGCGGCCCCTAGAGACCTGTCTTCTCCTGCAGCCACTCTGAGCTTTCACATGTCGGCCATGCAGCTTGGAGAAGCCCTGGACCTCCACTCCACTCCACTCCCCACCCCCACTCAGGGAGCTTCTATGGACAGTAGCGAGAGCAGGGTGTATACTGGACCGAGTCTTTATGGCCTTACATTCGATCTGTTGGCAAGACAATCGCCGTCAGGGGTCGGGGACAGTTGCCTTTAGGAACTCCTAAGTGCGGGTGGGGGCCCGCGCCGGTGCGACCCGATGTTCGCAGGCCCCGGGGTGCCACATGGAGTTTGGCAGCGGGGAGCGCGCCGCCTCTGCATGGCGGCGATGTGGCGTAAGTGTACCGCGACCACAAGCGGCTCTGCGAGCGACAGGCCACACAGCGGGCACCTCTCGGGCTCAGGTCGCCGCCTGTGTCCAGCCCGCGTCATCTTCCAGTCCTGCTCGCCGCAGGTGCCCCGTAGATAGTGAGCACTGGGGTCCCAGGTCGCTAGAGCTGGCCTCGAGGTTGTGCGCATTCCCAGCAGCAGCCGCGACGCGTCGCGCACCCAGGCCGCCAGGCAGAACCCCCGCGCGCGGCGCACTCTTCTGGCCGGCAGGGACGCAGCCCCTCGCCCCTCCGCTAGCAGCCGCAGCCAGCCGCGCCGCAGGTAATCTGGGCCTGACGACGGCCCTTGGCGCCGGGTCGGGAGCGGCGTCCGCACCATCAGCAGTAGGCAGGAGCACAGACAGCGGCCCAAGGCAGCTGCGGGCGGGCGCGGCATGGTTCGGGAAGCCCTGCGAGCATCTGCGGGGCATCAGCGCGTTCGTGGCACCCTCTGCCAGGAAGGGAAGCCAGGTAGGAGGTCAGAAACGGGACCTGGCCGAAAGACCAACCTCACTGCCTGTCTTGTACCAATAGCATGACGCTAGCATCGCCCCCTCCCCTGCTACCAAGTAGATCTCCCCCAACACATTAGGCCTAGTGACCCTCTAGGGATATCCAGTTATGGCAGTTAGCAATCAGTTGGGCTGTTCTCGGGGGTGGCTGGAGGGAAGAAAGGTGAGGAAGGGTGATAAGGATCACAGCGCACGCACACCCACCACGAGCACCACTTCCGTGCACCATCCGACTCCGATCCCTGCCCTGAGCATCCTTGCCAAAGAGAATGGACGGCTCCAGAAGTAAGAAGCTGTTAATGGGGGGGAAACAGCGGGAGCTGATGCCCCTTGCTTATGGCCTGGGGCACAGAGTGCTCACCTGTGTCCGGGACTAGGCCCTTCGCAGCAGCCGTGATCGAGTCCGAAAGGAAAAGGTTATGGAAATAAAGCAGGGGCGCAGTCAGCCCGGGCCCGCCCGCCCCTCTGCTCCGGCCTGAGGACTTCTGAGAGAGCCCACGGACTCGGATTCAGAAAACAGCTCCTCCGGCCCCCCTCTCCGCCCCTCGATTTAGCGGCACCGCGCCTTTCCCACTGGTTCAAGGCTGCCAATTTATGTAGCCACACGGGACCCTCCCGGGTCATTTCCCCCAGCCTGGCCCAAAGTCACAGTGCGAGCAGAGGAGCCGTAACCAGACACCGAGGCTAGGAGAGGAAGGGGGTGAGGACCAGAGGCGGGAGTGGGGGTAGGAGTTTGGCTGGAAGCTCAAAGGTTGGCTGAACGCTAGCCCTGTCCCATCTGCCTTTACAGTCCCTGCGTCGGCGAGGCAGCTGCATAAGGGGGAAGCGGCAGGAGCTCTGCTGCCAAGTCATTTACGTCGATGTCGGGGCGCCCCTGGAGGGCAGAACCAACCAACTTCGCCCCCCGCAGCCCAGGGCTGGTTCCGGGGACGACTGCAGGCTTGCCCACCCAGCCTCCCCCACCGAGGCCGCGACAGACTGGACGCCTACATCTGCCTCCCTTCAATCTGGCCTACTCTTCCTCCCCACATCGGCAAGGTGGCCTGCAACCCGCGGGTGAGCCGGGTGATTCGGGGTCGAGCTAACCAGCGGCCGCAGGGAAGGGCGGGCTGGGCCTCCCCAGGCGGGCGTCCCTCGGGTCGGGATTACAGGTTACGGTTTGCGAGGCTGGCAGGCCGGAGCACTCGGTCCGCGCGGCCGCCACCACTGCCCACCGTGGCACTTTGTGCGGGGGCGGGGAGGAGAGCATTCCTGGAGGCCCGCCCGCCAAACCGGGCGCGCAGGCCCCTCCCCGGACGGCCCCAAGCGGCTCAGAGAACCGCGGCGCAGTCCAGCTCGCTGGGGCGGGGGGACATGAATCGGCGGCCGCGAGGGGCGGCACTTAGCCAGCTCCGCCACAAGGCCTGGCTGTGGTGCCCGCCCGCCTGCGCGGATTCGACTCCACATGCGCACTGGAGCCCTGGGAATCCAACCGGCACTCTCCTTTCGGAGAGCGCCCCTGAGTTGGGCCAACCCATCATTCAGGGGCTCACGAGCCACGTAGGGCGCCCATCCCTGGCGAGAGGGGTTCTGAGGAGGGGGGCAAGGGCAGACACTCTCTCCTGGTCTCAAATTCAAAAGAGGGACTAGAAGGGAACTTCACGCGTGGCCCTCGCAAACTGTCGCGAGAATCAGAACAGGAACTCTACGAACGAGAACACTAGAGCCCGCGGATTTTAAACAGGAAAAGAAAAGGGCGGAGCCAGCTCTGGCGGATAGTTGTGTATCCCTGGTCCTTGGCCTAAAGTGTCGACCTGGGCATGAAGGGGAACTGTCAGAGAGCTGCCGGAAACCGTGAAAAACGACAGAGACAGGGACTTGTGGGGCGGACGAATGGAGTCAACCAAGGAGAGGTCCTGGCCTAACAAAACCCTTGGGGACGGAACTTGTCCGGGATACAGAGCAGAAACAAGTCCGGGATCTCTTAATGAATGCTGCCGGCTTCTAAGGCCTGGGAGCTGATATTTCAACAACAAACTCCACAGACCTGGAAACCTTCACTTATCCCATAATGTAGACAGTTGCTTACGTTTCATCTTTCCTATGCTCTAAGCTCTGGTAGTAGAATCGTGCTAACTCACTACTGTATCTTTGTGAACCTAGCCCGAGTCAGGTGGCACGGCAAATCTTGGTAAATATTTGTGGATAAATGTGAAAGACTGCCTGAGTGTTTAACCTGGATTTTCTGAGTCGCTGATGGAGAACAGTAGATAGACGGGGAACCATCGCCCTCTGGGTGGACTTTGTGGTTATGACGAGAACATCCTGGAACCGTGCATCCAGGTAGGCACAAGATAATAAAGGGATCCGCTGTTATAAGTAGAGATTTTGTTCTTGTAAACCCTACATACCGAAAATACTTTTAGAAGGAGTTTTTTGAATAGGACACAACTTGAGAGTTTAGATACATTCCCCGATCCTCCAGCATCCATACTTTCATCCGTCAAGGCTCCAAAACTTTCAGTAACATCTAATGCGCATCGTAAATATAAGAAAGGAGATAGCAAATAATTTTGGCGTATTTTATACTTTGAAAACGTTACTCGGTTTTGTGCAAAACAGGCCAAAGGGAAGGGATTCTCTAAGCCTAGATGATGTGAATACTGCTAGGAGAGGAGCCAGGTGGCAATCATCCTTTGCTTTAATGAGGGAGACTAGATCCAGATGGGCAGGGTGACGTTTGAAATTTGTTGAATAATAGATGATCCCGCCTCTTTTTTTCCCCTTTTCCTGCAGACGCTTGTACTGAAGGAAGGAATGAGGTATAGAATGTATTTCTTTCACCATGAATCCCTGTGTTACCAAGATTATCATATGTTCACTTTCAGTCACTGACACATGAAATAACTGCAATATAATGACAGAATGAATGACCCGGAGTGTGGTGTGCACACCTGTACTCCCAGCTATTTGGGAGCTGAGGCAATAGGATCCCTTGAGCTCAAGGGTCGAGAGACCATGTCTTTTTAAAAATACAATTTTAGGCCAGGCATGGTGGCTCCACACCTCTTAATTCCAGCACTTTGGGAGGCAGAGGCAGGCAGATTCACCTGAGTCATGAGCTGGAGACCAGCTTGGCCGATATGGGAAACCCCTGTCTCTACAAAAAACAAAAATTAGCTGGGCGTGGTGGTGCACGCTTAATCCCAGCTACTCAGAGGCTGAGGCAGAAGAATCGCTTGAAACTGGGAGCAGAGTTCAGTGAGCCCAGATCATGCCACTGTACTCCAGCCTGGGCGACAGAGCAAGACCCCCTCTAAAAAAAAAAAAGAAGAAAAAAAAAGAAAGAAAAAATAGAATTTTAAAAAATAAAGAGTGAAGAGGGCCCTGTACAGATGAACAACAGAAGATGAAACCAAGGCGCATACAGAGTCATTGTTTAATTTGGTAAAAAAAAAAAAAAATTACTTCAAAGGACCCACATTATTTTAACGGTCATTTCATGAAAACTGTTTTGACACAGCTGGGTGAAAATAGTAGAGCTGCAACTTGAGGAAGAGCAGAGTGGGCCGGCGCGGTGGCTCAAGCCTGTAATCCCAGCACTTTGGGAGGCCGAGACGGGCGGATCACGAGGTCAGGAGATAGAAAACCATCCGGCTAGCACGGTGAAACCCGTCTCTGATTAAGAAATACAAAAACTAGCCGGGCGAGGTGGCAGGCGCCTGTATCCCAGCCTAACTCGGCGAGGCTGAGGCAGGAGAATGGCGTGAACCCCGGGAGGCGGAGCTTGCAGTGAGGCTGAGATCCGGCCACTGCACTCCAGCCTGGGCACAGCGATGACGTTCCCGTCTCAAAAAAAAAAAAAAAAAAAAAAAAAAAAAAAAAAAAAAAGAAGTCAGGAGTGAAATAAATGGTCTCATGTTGACCTATTAGAGACCGATACAGAGAAATTTGTGCTTCCTGTGAATATAGAATAGGTTGAGTCGGGGAAAAAAAAAATAGGCTTAAACATAGATAATTAAAATGGGAATACCTTGTACTGCCAACTATGACAAATTAGTAAACTCAAAATAACCGTATTAGGAAACAAGGTGACAATACATGTTGAAAAATAAGGTTAAGAGAAAAGAGAGTATATATGGATACTGATTCACAACTGTATGTATATTATCAATCTATTATCATCTATAAATCATCCATATAAGAGAATTTGGAAATTGATGCTAACGGTTGAGTGTAATACTTCACTACTTCCTTTATTTTGTAAGTTTATTTTTCCTTTTGTTTTTTTTGAGACTAGAGTCTAGCCTTTGTCGCCCAGGCTGGAGTGCAGTGCACAGTCTCAGCTCACTGCACCTTCGGCCTTCCCCAGTTCAAGTATTCTCCTGCCTCAGCCTCCTGAGTAGCCACCTGGCTTATTTATTTATTATTTATTTTTATTTAATTTTAAGTAGAGACAGGGTTTTGCAATGTTGCCAGGCTGAGTCTTTAACTCCTGACCTCAAGATGATCTGCTCACCTTGGCTTCCTGGTAGAGGCTATTTTTATTAGGTAAAATGAATGTCAAGAATAAATGTAGCAAAGCTGGGATGGCTGGGTAAAAAGATTGGCTGGGCATGGTGGTTCATGCCTGTAATCCAGGCACTTTGGGAGACCAAAGGTGGGCAGATCACCTGAGGTCAGGAGTTCGAGACCAGCCTGGCCAACATGGGGACCCCATCTCTACTAAAAATACAAAAAATTAGCTGGGTATGGTGGTGCAGCCTATATCCCAGCTACTTGGGAGGCTGAAACAGTAGAATGGCTTGAACCCAGGAGGCGGAGTTGCAGTGACTGAGATCGTGCCACTACACGCCAACCTGGGCGACAGAGCAAACTCCATCTAAAAAAAACACAAGAAAAGAAA